GTATAGTCATTCCATCTCTCTTATGTTGCATTATCATTTTTCATTGCTGAGTTTGATTATCTAATATTTTCAGGATTTTTATATCTGTATTCCAGGGATATTGGTTTTTACTTTTTATCTTCTAACATTTTTGGCAGGTTTTGTGTCAAAGGTATAGTAACCTTAGAAATTGAGTTTGGAATTTTCTTTCCTCCATTTTCTAAAAGAGTTTTTGTGAAATTGGTATTATTTCTTCCTTAAATATCTGATAGAATTCACCAGTGAAATGATCTATGTTTAGGGTTTTCTCTGTTGAAAGATTTTTGTCATAAATCTAATTTACTTACTTGATATAGGTCAATGAAAGAAATCTATGTCATTTTGTGTCAGATTTGATAAGTAATATTTTTCAAAAGTTGTGTGCATTTTATCTAAGTTATCAAATTTTGAGGAATAAAATTGTTCATGATGTTATCTTTTTGTCCTGTTTGTCAGAATATTTGCAGTAATAACCCTTGTTTTAGTTCTTATATTTTTACTTGTATTTTCTAGATATTTATTTATAAAGAGTATGAAGAGTGTAGTAATTTTGCTAGTATTGTTAAAGAAATAATTTTTGCCTTTGTTAAATTTATCTATTGTTCATTATCTATTTCCTTATTTTAGCGTTTTTCTTTTATTTCTCCATGATTCCACTTATTTTGATTTTAATTTACTGTTCTTTTTTTAGCTTTTACAGGTAGAAATTTAGGTCATTGATTTTTAGATCCCTCTCTTTCTCTAATATTATTTTTAAAGTTATGAATTTCCCTTTTTGCTTCTGCTTTAGCTGCATCTTACAAATTTTTATTTGATGTATTTTTATTATCATTTAGTTTGAAATATTTTCTAATATCCCCTTTGACTTCTTTGACTTATAGATTATTTAGAATTGTGTGTTAAATTTCCAACTATTTGGTGAATTTTCTAGATATGTTACAGATTTCTAAATTAATTTCATTCTGGTCACAACATATTCTTCGTAAGATTTTAATGTATTGGTACTTCTTGAAATTTATTTTATGGCCCATAAAATATAATATAATTTATATAAATATGTAAATTTTTATATATAAGTATATATATAAGCCATAAAATATAATGTGGCTTATACTAATGAACATTTCACGTACACTTGAAAATATTGCTTAGTGTAGTTTTGACTTAATATTGCCAAGTTGATTGATAATATAGTTTAGACAATCTAAATACTTATTTTTTTTGCTACTTTATCAATTGCTGAGAAGGGAGTTAAAACTTCTAACAATAATTGTCAATTTGTCTTTTTTTAATTGTATACATTTTTGCTTTATGTATTTTAAATTTCTGACGTTGTATTGATATTGATATTTAGGATAATATCTTTTTGAGGAATCAACCCTCTTGTCATTACAATATATCAATTTTTTTGAGTCAGTGTCTCTGCTACCCAGGCTGGAGTGCAGTGGAACACTCACAGCTACCACACATCCTCTACCTCCTGGGCTTAGGCATTCCTTCTGCCTCAGCTTCCCAAGTAGCTGGGACTACAGATGTGCATCATCATGCCCAGCTATTTTTTTTTTTCCACTTTATTGTGGAGACAAGGTCTTACCATATTGCCTAGGCTGGTCTTGAACTCCTGGGCTCAGGCGATCCTCTCACCTTCACCTCCCAAAGTGCTGGGATTACAAGTGTGAGAGTCTCTTATGCGTGCCTGGCCAAAATATCTAGTTTTAACACTAGTAACACTTGTCTTGAAGTCTATTTTGCTATTAACACGCTGTGACAGCTTTTTTACGCTTACTATTTGCATGCTATATGTCTTTCCATCCTTTTTTCTTTCAAACTATCTGAGAATTTATGTTTATAGTACATTTCTTGGACACAGATTGTAACTGGAACTTCCAGTTTCAAAATCTACTTTTACAGTATCTGTCTTGTACTTGGAGCGTTTAGTTCATATTTATTTGTTGATACAATTGGGTTTATGCTTTCTATCTTGCTTTTTGTTTGCTATTTCTTGTCCCATTTGTTTTTTGTTTCTTTATTTCTGTATACTTTTGGATAAATCAAATATTTTTACTAATTCATTTTTCTTATTCTATTGTCTTTTTAGATAAAACTTTCAATATTTTTGTGATTTTTAGATATTAAATTATTTATACTTATAGTCGACTAGAATAAATGTTGTTAATCTCATTAAATTTTTAAAATTTTATTTATTTTATTTTTTAGTTCTAGAATTTTCTTTTTTTTAGTTTTTGTTTCTCTGTTTGTCAACTTTTTTTGTTATTCCCATTCATTCATTATATCTATCTTTTCTTTGAAATACTTGAATGTATTTATAATAGCTAATTTAAAGTTCTCTGCTAATTCCAATATTGGGGACATCTCAGCTTCTGTTGATTTTTGGATACTTTTTTTTTCTAAATTAAGGGTTTCATTTTCCTGATTTTTCCATACATCTAGTAGTTTTTAAAATTATACTTCGTAGGCTACAAGTGATACATTATAGGGAGTCTGACAAGTGTGTCTTCCTTTAAAGTGTGTTGTATTTGGTTCTGCCAGGAAGTTAAATTACCAGAGGATTTGCTTGATCCTGCCATGGCTTGGATTTAATCTTTGTTAGAGTTGGTTTATTTCAGCTCTGTCCTTACCCCTTAGGCAATGACTGTTCTGAGTTTCAACTGAATGCCTGAAGTGCTCAGCTGAATTTCTCTACTCTGGCTATTTTGAATTGCAGTGTTTTCCAGCCTGCAAACCTTAGATGCTCAGTTCTCAGATTTATGGCAGTTTCCTTTTGCCAAGCCTCACAGAACTTTGTCCTGTGCATGTATAGCCAAAGACCCTCAAGAAGTCTCCATGCAGACTTCTGGGCTCTTCCTTCATATAGTTTTCTTCTCTCCAGGGTGTTGACCGATGTCGGCAGTCCTCACCTTTGATTTCTGCCTTCTTAGCTCAGCAATACAGTTGTGTATTGCTTGGGCTTCATTTTCCTAACCCATACGTGGAACATGACTCAAGGCAGAAAGCTGGAGTGGACAGAGATCTGTTCAGTCCTCATAACAGCTCTGTGAAAGTTAGGCTTAACTTCCCAGGTTAAGTGATGTGGCCAAAGGCACACAGTTCAAAGGAATTTCTCTGCCGTCAGGGGTCAAGCATTTCCCTATGGCTCAAGTCCCTTATTATTTTCTTGCTAAAATCCCTCTGAGCCATGTCAAAGTCTTCAAGGTTACAAGAGTGGTCCATGATTGCAAACAATGCTTTACATGACTTCAACTACCTACAAAACTGAGCCACGATTAGGAAGTTCTTGGGTTGTTCTCATTCCTGCCTGACCTTGGTTCTTCCTGTTCAATACTTGTTCTACAGAGGAATGCCTGGTAGATTTAGTACATGACTATTCCTAGGACTCAAATGGGGTCAAATTATGAAAGTCCCCTGGTTCTAGGTCCCGAAGGGTAGATTCTTGAGTACCAGCCTGGACTACTCAACTGCTGTTCTGTTGAAACGTTAAGTAGCATCCTAAGATTTCCTGTCAATGGGGAAAGAAGGAGATAAGGAGGTGGGGGGAAGGATGACAGAGAAGGATGGAAGACATCACCAAGCTAACAGAAACATGGCACAATGAAATTCCCAGCTTTTTAGACCACGTGGTACCACTATTCTTTTGCTCAACATTTTATTCTTCATTTCCTTCTTAGCATACAGATAGCTGCTTCAGGTCATAAAAAATACATTTAGTGAAATAAAACTTAGTAGATATTCACAAGAAACTAAACAGAAAAGTTAGCCATACACCATCTTGTTCAACTGAAATGTTTGGCTGAACTCATAGGAATGTCGACAAGGCTGTACTTGGATGCCTGGATGGAAATGAATCATAAGAGGATTATTTAGGCTGTATGAAGAGGTTGTTTGGCTCACTGAACAAAAGAGTTTCTTTAGGCCCGGGAAGTACAATGAAAATCGGCATGATCGTTTTGAAGAGTATACGGAGTCAAACAGAGAATTAGAACAGAATTTTCAAAGAGGAATAAAAGGTTGATAACCAGCACATGCATTTGCAGGAAAATAGGACGAGTAAGTCAAGGAATTCAAAGGTAAAGAGAAACTCAGTTCAAGTAGGGGAGGAAAAAACCCCTATAGTTCTCACTATTCTTTATAAACGAAAAGGAAACACATGAAAATAAGATACCAGAAGTCAGTAAGAATTTGTGGGAGTAGAAAGTTGGTTTTATGGAAGCAAAACGCTTTTCGTTGCTGTAGGAAACTCCCGGCTGAGTGCTAACGGTGGACATCTGATCTCCTTGCAGCTGTATTTAGGTATATTTTGCTCATGGCTTGTACCCCACACCCTGGGTCTGCAGGAAGGCTGCTGCACTGTCCCAGAGTTCTGGAAAGTAGGCCAAGGTTAAATAGTGAGATTGCTTCTTGAATTTATTATATCGATTTTTCTTAAGGAAGAATGAAGATTGTGAGGACACATGTTAGAATTTTAGCTATGCAAGATGATTATGGAATTTTAAATTGACTCCAACAACTTGAGTCATTTTGAAAACTCCCAGTCTCAGGATAAAAAATATAATCCTATTTAGAAATTCCTGATGTGATCACAGATGTGGGATTGGTTCTTTCCACAAAACTCATAAATTAAAAAGTACATAATCCAAAGTCAATTAAATAGCAAAATAGTATAACAAATTCTCATTTCATTAACTTTTCATAATATGGATAACTATACACTCAACCCAAGAAATTCACATTTTTTTCCACTGACTGCTAAAACACAATGGAAATAACTCTAACATGGTAGCAGCTCACTGTGAGGTGACCTACTTTTAGAATAAATTATTGGCTTCAGCTGATTTTTACATTGTGGGGTTAGTCATTAAGTTAAGCTCGATGAGAAACAGATATAACTAGAGTTGGGAATTCAAGTATATCACATTTCTCTTTATAATCAGAGATGAATTCACCATGGGTTTTTCTTTCCATAGGCTCATGCCAAAATCTGGCATCTCTACAATGCTTCTTTCCGTCCAACTCAGGGAGGGCAGGTGTCCATTGCTTTGAGCTCCCACTGGATCAATCCTCGGAGAATGACTGACCATAGCATCAAAGAATGTCAAAAGTCTCTTGACTTTGTCCTGGGCTGGTTTGCCAAGCCCATATTTATTGATGGTGACTATCCTGACAGCATGAAGAATAATCTTTCATCTCTTCTGCCTGAGTTTACTGAGTCCGAGAAAAAGTTCATCAAGGGAACGGCTGACTTTTTTGCTCTGTCCTTTGGACCTACCTTGAGTTTTCAACTACTGGACCCTCACATGAAGTTCCGCCAGTTAGAATCTCCCAGCCTGAGGCAACTGCTTTCCTGGATTGACCTTGAATATAATCATCCTCAAATATTTATTGTAGAAAATGGTTGGTTTGTCTCAGGGACCACCAAGAGAGACGATGCTAAATATATGTATTACCTCAAAAAGTTCATAATGGAAACCTTAAAAGGTATGATTCTGATTTCTTGCCAAAATCCACTGGAAAAACAATCTTTTGGATTATTTAACATAAACTATGTGAATATATATATATATATATTTTTTTTTTTTAATTATTTATTTATTTATTTTTGAGTAGGGGCTCTCCCTCACTTGCCTAGGCTGGAGTGTGGTGGTATGATCATGGCTCACCACAGCCTTGACCTCTTGGGCTCAGGTGATCCTTCTGCCTCAGCCTCCAAGTAACTGGGACTACAGGTGTGGGCCACCACGCCTGGCTAATTTTAAAAATTATTTAGTAGAGACAAGGTCTCACTATGTTGTCCAAGACAGTGTTGAATTCCTAGGCACAAGCGATCCTCTCGCCTTGGCCTCCCAAAGTGCTGGGATCAGAGACATGAGCCACTGTACCTGGTGAATTTATATTTTTTAATCATCTTGCAGAAATTGGTCTGGGCAACAGTGGAAACACATTCATGTAGCACCTTTCTCATTTGGGGCCTTGGGGAACTTAAATTAATTTTGAAATCATTTGTATATGAAAAACTGGATTATACTAACTGTAATTAACTTTCAGAGTTACTAATCTGGATTTTTTAGATTAAATGCAGCATAAAATAAATCCTCTATATGTTTTTGAGTCCTTACATTGTTTTGGCTGAATAAAATGCCATTTAAAGAAGAAGGAAGCCGGGTTCGGTGGCTCAGCCTGTAATCCCGCGCCTTTGGGAAGCTGAGGTGAGTGGATTGCCTGAGCCCGCGGGTTCGAGACCCACCTGGGCAACTTGGCGAGACCTCATCTCTACAACAAATCAAAAAATTAGCCGGGCGTAGTAGCGCACGTCTGTAGTTCCAGCTACTTGGAAGGCTGAGGCGGAAGGATTGCCGGAGTCCAGCAGGTAGAGGCTGTGGTGGCCGGGAGTGGCCACTGCACTCCAGTCTGGGCACCAGAGTGAGACTCCAACTCAAAAAAAAAAAAAAAAAAAAGAAATAAGGTCCTGTCTTATCAAGGGACTTAGAAATCCAAATCAAAACATATTGGAGGTAAGTTTATCTGTGAGGCACATATAGTTATCTAGATTTGATTAGAGCCTTTTGTCGACAAGAAAAGTTATTGGTTTACCAAACAAGAAGCATCATACTTTATTTCTTTAAATAGGAAAACCCTCAGGTGCTCTTGAATCAGGAGGCGAGTACCCGGCAAAGGGTCATGTTCCTTTTGTCCTCTCTTCCCTTTGCAGCCATCAGGCTGGATGGGGTGGACGTCATCGGGTACACGGCATGGTCCCTCATGGACGGTTTCGAGTGGCACAGAGGTTACAGCATCAGGCGTGGTCTCTTCTATGTCGACTTTCTAAGCCAGGAGAAGAAGTTGTTGCCGAAGTCTTCAGCCTTGTTCTACCAAAAGCTGATAGAGAAAAATGGCTTCCTTCCTTTACCTGAAAATCAACCCCTAGAAGGGACATTTCCCTGTGACTTTGCTTGGGGAGTTGTTGACAACTACATTCAAGTAAGTCAGCTGACAAAACCAATCAGCAGTCTCACCAAGCCCTGTCACTAGTAAGTAGCGTTTCCTTATTAGGCTGGTTATATGGCCCATTGTCATCTTCGTTGAGACACACATGATTCCTTAACGAGCACACTAAGGGCACAATCTGGGTGCGGCACCCTTCTCTCCAAAAATCTTCCAATCTCCATCTTGCACTTTAAGTTAGCTCCAAAGGGAAACAAAGTAAAGACACAGGAATATTTCCGATCCAATAAGACAAGTGAAAAGACAAAACATTCTCTTTTAGTACTGTGGGTTTTTTTTTAATCCTTTTAAAAGCAGATGAGTTTTTAAAAAAAGTAATAGACTAGATATAACAGAACTCCATAGCATCTGAGATATCAGTGGAGATGATGATTTTGAGGCTGGAATGTTAGGCAGGGCCCTCCTGAGACATAACTGTGGACACCATAAACCTGCAGAAATACCTCAAGAAAGAAAATTCTTGCTTCAGAGATTCATTAATCAGATTTTTTTAAAGCAATAGTCATTGAAACGAAATAGAAGTTTTCAAAATACTCAACCAATATTTATTAAGCTTCTGTTCTGTAGTGAGCCCCCGATATGTTAAAAAATTTCCCTAATTTTAAAGGAACTCGTTTTCCTGAGTTTGATTGCATCCTTTATTGGATGTCTATTGTGTTGGTTTCCAGGGTCTCCCAGTTCATGTGAGAGGAGTACAGGTAGGGGGACACTGAGGCGAGTAGGGTGACAGCTACTTTCAAAGGAGTCTACTGAGAGAAAATGACAGACACACGAATAATAGAACAGAGTGAACAGGGCGTGGTGGTAAGTAAACGGGGCGGGGGAGTGATGTTGCTGCTGATAGAGTCTGAATGTGAAAATAGTTATCAAGATAGAGATGAGATTCAATGTCCACTGACAAGCAGTGGGTGCTGGCATGGTGGGTTCTTGAAGCTGGTTCACTGGTTCCCCAAATCACAGCTTCAAAACAAGCACTTGGAGCAAAGAGCTGTGGTTCGTGCCTGTAATCCCAGCACTTTGGGAGGATGAAGCCAGAGCATTACCTGAGTCCAGGGGTTCAAGAGCAGTCTGGGCAACTTGTTGAGACCTCATCACTACAGTAAATCCAAAAATTAGCTGGGCATGGTGGCGCATGCCTGTGGTTCCAGCTACTTGGAAGGCTGAGGCCGAAGGAGCACCTGAGTCCAGCAGTTCGAGGCTGTGGTGACCATGAGTGTGCCAGCCTGGGTGACAGAGTGAGCCTCCAACTCAAAAAAATTAATAGTAATACTTGAAAAAAAATGCTTGGACCTACGAAAAGGACTTCAGTTTGAAATGGGTTACTGTTTTCTTGTAAATATCAAATCAAAATCTTTTATTTATAAGTAACTAAAACAACATCATTCTTAATACTTTTTTGTTGCAGTTTTGGATTAATCGTGTGTCTTTTTCAGACTATCCATTTCATTTTAGAGGCAGTCTTGAACTCAAATATTCTTTTCCCATTTAAAAGATGACCGCGGAACGTTGTGTTGGCTAGGACCTCTGAGCGCAGTGGAAAGGCTTCTTTGCTGAATCCTGCTTAGGGCAGCATTTTCCACCCTGTTGTATCTCTTTCCTTCTCCCCCAGACCAGCCCACTGCTATCTGGAATCTCCTTGTGCTGATTTCTCTCCTCAAAGAGGGATTCAAGGAAGATCTGAAGTGGCAAAAGTCAGGCTGGTGAGGGAGAAGGGAGATGGAGAAAGGGAAGAAGGGAGAAAAAACTCCTATATGCCCTCCTGCGTCCTCCCCTTTGTTGGGGCTGGGGACAATTCAGATGGTCCCTTGTCCTTATTCTTTTGATTTTTTTTTGAGTGGGGTCTCACTCTGCTGCCCTGGCTGGAGTGTGGTGGCAAGATTGTGGTTCACTGCAGTTTCCACCTCGTGGGCTTGGGTAATCCTTCCGCCTCAGCCTCCTGAGTAGCAAGGACTATAGGCACTCACCACCAAGCCCAGTTAATTTTTTTTATTTATTGTAGAGATGAGGTCTCAGTACTCGCTGTTGCACAGACTGGTCTTGAGCTCATGGTCTTAAGCCATCCTCCCACCTCAGCCTCCCAGAGTGTTGGGATTACCGGCATGAGCCACCATGCCCAGCCTCTAGACCATATTCTATCTCTTGACCTTCTGCCTGCCTCCTGCTGGGCCTTGTGTCCTGGTCTCTCTGATAGCAGCCCCAGGACGGCAGGTCTCACAGACAGCAAACCGTGGCACGAGTCTCACAGACAGCAAACTGTGGGAACAAACGCAGGCAAAAGCGGGGGTGTTGGAGGGAGCCCTTTCTCTCCTCCTGCTCTGCTGCCCATCCACAGGCTGTGTGCTGGTTTTGGGAAGTGGTAAGTAGTGAGAAAGTGATGAGCATGTCCTGTTTCCTCAAGGGAAAAGGGAAACTCTGGTCAGAAGCAACAAGTCTGGCAATGAAAGGGAAGGGAGATGGGGGCAGGATTCCTTTTCCTGCGTCCTAGAAGCAATTGTTTCAGAGTTTGATCTAGGGTGAGCCACACTCAGTGACCCCAGAGCTCCTCTCTTAGGTCATGCTACCCTTGTACCTCATCTGCTCAGGGACCCTGCCCCTCTACCTGGCAGAGGGCCCCAGTATCCTCCTGTGCAGATCCCAACAAACACAATATTAAATCACTCTCAAACACACGACAGATCTTTCCAGCAGATCTCTCTGGTGGGAAAAGGCTGCCATTGCTATTTTCTTCTTCTGGTTTTCACCTGGGACTTTGTATTATATTGGCAGTATTATACTGGTGCCCTTCTCAAGTCAACTACCTAACTGACAGAGTAAAAGAAGTTCTTTATGATATCAGCTCTGAGATGTGTGTGATTTTACTTACAAGCAGTATGCGACACTTTTAAGACATTATGTTCAAGTCCTGAGAAGTGATTTTAAAACCATCGAAATTCAACTTTTCCCTCCTGGATTGTATTTTAAACTCTTAATATTCGGGGCATGCATTTCACCTGAGCAACTTTGAAAACAATATTATATTAAACGTACAACACATCTGAAGTCGGACCTTAGATTCATTCATGCGGATTTCACTTTATGTGGACCTGATTTCCCAGCGGACAGGTTTGTTTTCCCATAACCACTAATGTTCATGGTTACAGTAAATACAGAAATTGCTACACAATGAGGCCACAAAGCTTCCTAAGGCTGTCCCTGTTAGGAGAAAGTGTCTCCTGTGACATACTAACTGCATGATTTACACCCATTCCTTCTGAAAGGTCCAACTTTACTATTTCAGTTTTTTGTTTTTTGTTTTTTTTTACTAAAAACTAAGTTAACAGATTAATGGAGGTTAGCTCTAATTTTTCCTAAATGCTCATTTCAAAATGTCCTGTACTTTCAGGATTTTTTTTTCCGTCAGAACTTATACTCTCATCTTTCATATTTGTTTTCAGATGGACTGAATAAAAGCTGTTGTTTTGAAACAATTAAAGTAGAAAAGTTATGAATTTAGTCAACTCAGGGCTCTATGAAAATAATCCCCCAAATTCCTTCAAGCTCTGAACACTTTTCCTTCAAAAGAGCATGCAAATATTTCCTCTTTCGAAGCTGAGGAAACATGATTTGTGAGTGCATCACGGTGGAAAAATACTTCTGACAGCATTCTCACAGCATTAGGAGAAATACATGCGTGGGTGTCCTGCAAGGGACAATTCTCCAGAAAAAGTTATTTCCCTTTGACACGCTGTTTTTTATTACTTTCCTTTATAAACACAGCACTTACCCTCCAGAGAAATAGCAGTGAATTTGCAACAGGCTCATAAAATGCAACAAAGCCTGCTACAGCTTCTGACTTCTTTTATACAAGTTTCAGACCAGGAACTTGTTCTCACAGGATTATTTCAGAGGAGCAAACTTTGCCTTAGGTCAAAGGTTTTCCAGGTGGACTCTTAAATCTGGCTTCTCACCATGAGAAGGGAGGGAGGATGGAGGAAGGATTTTGTGATTTTCGGTTTTATCATTTGCCTATTTTTCCTAAACACCTATTTTCATTTTGGAGGCGAATGTATCATAGGATGGAGACTCACTATTGTCACTATTATTGCACAAAAATAATTAATAAAATTAAGCAGAAAAGACATTAAACAAAAAATCCTACTCTGGGCCAGGGTGTGGTGGTTTATGCCTGTAATCCCAAGCACTTTGGGAGGCCAAGGTGAGAAGATTGCTTGAGCCCAGGAGTTTGATACTAGCCTGGGCAACATAGCGAGACCTTGTCTTTACAAAAATAAAAAAAATTAGCAGAGCATGGTGGTGTGCGCCTATAATTCCAGCTACTTGAGAGGTTGAGGCAGAGCAAGAGCCCCCCAGATCGAGGTTGCTGTGAGCTGTGGTTGTGCCACTGCACTCCTGCTTGGGTGAAAAAGCAAGACCTTGACTCAAAAAAAAAAAAAATCCTACTTTGGGAGATGACAATATTGTTCTTTACTTCTGCATTCTAAGACTTTCTACCATCCATCAGATTGGATTTGTTAAACTGCTTCATTGACCCTAAAGTCAATAAAAAGCAAAGGTTATACATAGTTAGGTTTGTCTTCTACCGACAGCAAACCTCCATTTAGAATGTGATTTTAAGAAGCAGAATTTAATTGCAAATATTGTTTCACTTTCTTACTCTCACTCAGATTTTAAGTTTTTTCTTTTTTTGTCTAGCTTTTTTAAAATTTGAAGTCTCATCTCATGAGTGATTTCTTATATTAAAAGAAAAACATCCAACAATATTCTGCTTGCATGATACAGACGAACAGTGTGCAAGTGTCACTTGTGTTTGTAATCTGAAGGGACCACACACATTAGACGTCTTTTTTTTTTTTTGAGTTGGTGTCTCACTCTGTCACCCAGGCTGGAGTGCAGTGGCACGCTCACGGCCACCACAGCCTTGACCTGCTGGGCTCAGGTGCTCCTTCCGCCTCAGCTTTCCAAGTAGCTGGAACTACAGGCATGCACCACCATGTCCAGCTAATTTTTTGATTTATTGTACAGATGAGGTCTTGCCAAGTTGTCCAGGTTGGTTTCAAACCCATGGGCTCAGACAATCCTCTCACCTTGGCCTCCCAAACTGCTGAGATTATAGACGTGAGCCACCGCACCTGGCCTAGACCTTTTTTTGACATTAAAAGGACTGTTAAAAACTATAGGTAAAACAAATGTGCGTAGTAGAAAGTGGAATGTTTTCTTTTTCAAGAACGTACAATTTACAAAAAATAGTTTAAATTCTCAGAAAAGTTTCTATTTTTGCTCACTTGCTAGTTTTGCTGAAATAATTGCATCGCTTGACTTCTTCCAAACCATCCAAGTGACGCTAATGTTTCCTCTCCCTTTCACAGGTAGACACCACTCTGTCTCAGTTTACCGATCAGAATGTTTACCTGTGGGATGTCCACCACAGCAAGAGGCTTATTAAAGTGGACGGGCTTGTGACCAAGAAGAGGAAATCCAATTGTGTTGACTTTGCCGCCATCCGACCCCAGATTGCCTTGCTCCAGGAAATGCATATTTCGCATTTTCACTTCTCCCTGGACTGGGCCCTGATCCTCCCCCTGGGTAACCAGTCCCAGGTAAATCACACCATCCTGCACTACTATGGCTGTGTGGTCAGCGAGCTTGTGCGTGCCAACATCACCCCGGTGGTGGCCCTCTGGCAACCTGCAGCCTTCCACCAGGGGCTGCCGCGTCCCCTGGCCAGGCAGGGCGCCTGGGAGAACCCCTATACCTCCCTGGCTTTCGCAGAGTACGCCACACTATGTTTTAAGGAGCTGGGTCACCACGTCAAGTTTTGGATCACGATGAATGAGCCGTACACACGGAACATGACATACAGTGCCGGGCACAATCTTCTGAAGGCCCATGCGTTGGCTTGGCGTGTGTATGATGAAAAGTTCAGGCGTGCTCAGAAGGGGAAAATATCCATTGCCTTGCTGACTGACTGGATAGAGCCAGCCTGTCCCTTCTCTCAAAAGGACAAAGAAGTGGCCGAGAGGGTTTTGGAATTCGACATTGGCTGGCTAGCAGAGCCCATTTTCGGCTCTGGAGATTATCCACGGGTGATGCGGGACTGGCTGTACCAAAGAAACAACTTCCTCTTACCTTATTTCACTGAAGATGAAAAAAAACTAATCCAAGGCACCTTTGACTTTTTGGCTTTAAGCCATTACACCACCATCCTTGTAGACTGGGAAAAAGAAGACCCGGTAAAATATAACGATTACCTAGAAGTGCAAGAAATGACTGACATCACCTGGCTCAACTCTCCAGGTCAGGTGGCGGTCGTGCCCTGGGGGTTACGCAAAGTGCTCAACTGGCTGAAGTTCAAGTATGGAGACCTTCCCGTGTACATCACGTCCAATGGGATTGACGATGACCTGCACTCCGAGCAAGACGAGTTGAGGGTGTATTACATGCAGAATTATGTAAATGAAGCTCTCAAAGGTAAGGAGGCCCTGAAACAGCCCTCTCCTGAAGGTTGTCTTCAGAGGGCACGATACCCGATGACATCCCTGACATGAACACACGCTACCGTCCTCAGAATGAAGTGTTATTATGGGAAATGGAAAATCTCTGGCGCCTACTCAAGATCTTCAAAAGCATAGACTCTTGTCTTCTATCTCAGATAGTTCCAGTGCATCTTAACTGCTTCATGTACATAAGACCTAACCAAAGCACATCATTGTGGGTTTAATGTTGTAAAACTGACTGTTTAACACAGCCTGGAATTTGTCTTGATATCTGTCATTTGTTTTCACATTTGTTTCTGATTAAACCTAATGGAGTCTAAAGGTGTATGGGGGGACAGGGACTCAGATGAAATTACCTTTTGGAGGGTGGGCCCCTTGGAGTCCAGGCTTCCCCTACTAGGTGAGTGCTCTAGGAACCCATTGGCATCTGTATACCAGCTAGCATTGTCGTAAGAGGCTGGGTTCAACTTCAGTGAAATTGGTTTTGGAGATTCTTTCAGCACATTTACCCATTTCATGATTTACAAGTGTACCTGCCCACACTGCGCTGAGTGTTCGGCAGTTTTTGACAAAAAAAGGCATGACCCCTGGGCCCAGCCTCCCTATTCACCCAATCTTGCCTGAAGTGATGTTTTCCTGTTTCCCTGGATGAAAAAAGGGAGACATTTTGCTGATGTGGAAGAGATGAAACCAAAACCAGCAGAAGCACTAAAAGGCATCAAAATCGACAAATTTAAAACTGTTTTAAGCAGTGGAAAAAAATCTTGATAGGCGTATTGCATTAAATGACTAATACTTTGAAGGTGACTAGAGTTTAAACGTGTAAGAATAAACACAATTTTTATAAATAAATTCTGCTTTTTTGGAGATCCCCCCTTTAAATGGTATTGAAAATTTCCCAGCTTCACAAAGACTATGTAAAAGCAATGTGTTGTGGGCTAAATATTTTAATAACAGCTCTCCTGTTCTTGTTTTTTACAGCTTACACATTGGATGGTGTCAACCTTTGTGGATACTTTGCCTATTCTTTTAACGATCGTACAGCTCCAAAGTTTGGCCTTTATCGTTATGCTGCAAATCAGTTTGAGCCCAAACTGTCCATGAAACATTACAGAAAAATTATCGACAACAATGGTTTCCCAGGACCTGAAACCATGGGGAGATTTTGTCCAGAAGAATTCAGCATGTGTAGTGAGTGCAGCTTTTTTCAAACACGAAAATCTTTACTGGTTTTCATAGCCTTTATATTTTTGGCTTTTATTATTTCTCTTTCCCTGATTTTTTACTACTCGAAGAAAGGCAGAAGAAGCTACAAATAATTCGGAACATTTCCCTATTCATTTGTTTTGAAGTAATTATGCACACGTCTGCTGTTAACCATTTGCACACCTCAGTGTTGTGAAACTGTAAATTTCACACATCTGACTTTCAGAAAAATGTTTTGTGGCCCATGGTAGAGGTTTTGAAAAGGGCAGAATAACATAAATAATGCCTGAATTTGTTCTCCTTTGGGTGATTAAAAAACCAACAGGCCCTATAATTTCTGTAACACACTGTAATGAAAAATGTGAAAATGGTAATCAAACCAATGCAACAACATCAGTACAAAAAATTTGAATGACAAGTTTAGGAACATTTTCATCTGTGCCCATTCCTAAATGTAATGTTTTTCTTGAAGTATTGATTGCGAGCGTTAGAATAAAAAGTTAAGTTCCAAGTAGCCATCTCTCAACTGCCCTGATAATGCCTAACAAATGTTCCTCTGTCAATTCAAATTTCTCATGAAAAAGAAGGTGGCGGATGTAGTAGAGATGACAAAAGGCCCCAGACTGGAATGTTCCTTTTAAACACAGTGGTTCTGTCAAATACGGCTAATGTTAATTAATAGTAATATGCATCTGGTTAATGGCATACTTAGAGAGAAAACTATGGAACTCTATGTTTCATAAGACTTTTGAGGCACTCTATAAATCCCGGTCACTGAGAGCTTTGTCTCACTGGTACCTTGTTTGGGGCCTTGCACATAGAAGACTTTTCATAAACATTTGCAGAAAAATAAACATGAATCGTGAGATACTGGGCTTTTCAGGAAGCATAAAACGAAATACAGCATACTTCAGTGACTGTAGGTGTAGGAAAGGAGGAAAAAGTATTTATTATAAGCAAATTGTGATTAATATGATTATACACCGTTCTCTTTTTGAGCAGAACTTGGGTGGGATAAATGAAATGACCTTTCCTGAGAGAGTAAAGACGAAATAGCAACTCATTCTCTGATGAGTGACACCATTTTCTGTTCTTTAGATATGCTGTAATTTCTTTGAATTGATAGTTATGAACCTTCCTAGAAGGTTCAAAAGGAATCTAGTCTGAATAAACACTGGAAGATTTGTTTTTGTGATCACTGAGGTCCATTTTGTGTCTTTGCAGCTACTTCTGTGAAAGTAGCTTTGAACTAGTTTTGCCTTGAACTTTTACACTGAAACATACTACTGATTTGTAGAAAGGGCTAATTAGGTCTTATTCTTTAATGTTCCTTAAATAAGTCTTGCTGATTTTCAGACAAGGAAGTCTCTGTTACACTGGAGCTGTTTTATAGATAAGTCAATATCATATTGGGCAAGATAAACCCATGTCATAACAGGCATTACTAATCTGCCTGACAGGGTCATAGTATACACTGGATAAAATACTGCACTGGATAATATATCATCTATAGAGATGACATGATTTTTTTTTTCATGAAAGATAAGCTTTTGGTGGTATACATTTGAAATTTTGACTTATTAAAATTGATAATCAATACTTTATTTTATGTATATATTTTCTAATTATAAGAGTAATATATTATCAGAAAAAAATTTTAAAAACAGAAACTATATGTAAAGAATAATTAAAATTATCTATGATCTCACAACCCAGAGGTAGCCACTATTAACACTTCCTATATATTTTATTCTACATAGAGTCAGATCATGTTCTATATACTTATGTGTCCTTATTAATTTTTATTGTATAACTTTCCTTTGTCATTATTCTTCAAAAGCATGATTTTTAATAATTATAGAATATTCCACTATATGAATGTATCACAACTTATTAACTATTCTTATTTGTTAGTTTCTTATTAATTACTGTTAAGTAATGAATATTGTTTAAAAATGATTTTCTTACTGCTGCATTTACTTTAATTTCCTTGAGTGTCGAGAGGAGTAATTCTGCTCCTTGATAAGTATTATAATAAATCTGCCTGCAACTTTGCTTTCTTTCATAATCAGTTGAGTGATTGCTAGCTACTTTTTAAAATTAAAAATGTGTGGAGTTGACTGAACCATCTAAGATGTGGTGGGAGTGGTAAAGAAAAGGGTGTGATTGCAAGAGGCGTGAGCTGCCAGGCTGGAAGGTGGCAGGGGCGGGTGAGGGTGCCACAGGCTAGACCACGTGGTTGAGCTGAGAGAATTTCAGACCCTGACACAGTGAGACAGAGTAGAGCTGGAAGGGACAAAACAGAGAGGCCAAAGCCCTGAAAAGAAGTGTCATCCCCAAACCATCCAACTTTATGGAAGTAAGAGCCTCATCCTAACTTCAGAGAAGGTGGATCCTCAGAGAAGGTGACCCAGGGCTGAATGAAAGGTGGGAGGATGCTTCCTAGATCATTCTGGGACAGGCAGAGTAGGGCTAGAAGCAGGGACTTTCAGGTGCAGTGGGGTGGAACCCACTCATGTCTGAATCTGCTTCTCAGAGCACTGCATTCTTTGTACTCTGGTCCTCATCTTTGATGCTTTACTCTCATAAATTATGTTGTTTTTTTTAAAAATGCATATTTATTTTAGAGACCGTTCCTGCCTCTCTGATTATTCTGGGGCCAACTCTACAGGGACATTAAGTAGTAAACTTGTGGTCCCTGAGGAGTCTGTTGACTGTTTCCTACTTGCTTGATTCTATCCTGCATTCACAGTTCATTCCTGTGATCCCAGGTGGCCTCTTTGTAATTATCCTCAGTTTGTTTTGCCCTGGTTGGGAAGGATAGTTTTTCAGATTCATTAGGGACATTTGTCATTTTGTTTCTGTCTTCCACAGACAATAATTAGAATTTATTAAAGCCTCAGAAGCATTTTTTTATTTTATGTACAACAGCACTTTCCAACAGAGATATAATGCAAGCCACATATGCAATTTTAAATTTTCTAGTAGTTATATTTAAAAAGGCACTCAAGAGATAAAGTTTAATAATATATGTTTCCAATATATCCAAAATATTATAATTTCAAAATGCAAAGGATATAAAAATTATTGAGCTATTTTACACACTGTTTTGGTACTAAGTTTTAGAGCTCTGATGTGTGTATGTGTTACATAAACAGCATGTTGTGTGCTCAATTTACAATATTCTCACTGTTAAGTGCTCCGTACCCCCATGCATTAATAGCTACCATATTAGACAGCACACATCTATAAGGAAAGGGTTGCTCTTCCAAGTAAAGGAATAGTGTAATTAAGATTTCTGAAATATTTAACAAATTAGAAGAATACTGTTTTATTCAAGGATCTTTGAAACTCTATAATCCATAGGAATAATTGACATGCAAACTTACAATTAAGCTAAACTACTGATTAAAACCAATATTTTAAAAAATCCATGTGGAAGGAAAAATACTGGCAACCTCATTCTGAATATTGTAGTAATTCAGGTAGAATTAAACTGCTTTTCCTTTAACATATTCTGTAAATTTAGTCTTTTCTCTCATTCAAATTGTCCTTTTCTGAATTAATAGAGTAATTATGTTGTCCTATAGACTTTCCACTTAATATTTCATATTGAGCAATGCTGCTGGAAATTTCTGCCGGGAAGAAAAATGTTACTTTGAGTGATAATGATCACCATCCTGGACACAAGGGCCTCGGGTCTACATGGGAAGGCAGAAGCCATGTCTTGTCTGTTATATTTTTTCCCTGTGTTTAGCACAGAGTCCTTCATATTGTTCAATAAATGTTGTTGATTAATTGAATAAATGTAGGAATATATGATGGAATAAATGAATAAACAGAATGAACATCACCTCTGTCCAGAGACTGATTTCAAAGGGATCAATGACCAACCAGAAATGAAGATGTGTTGGATGCCACATCTCAAGCCTATGTAGTCAAAGGAAGAAATGAGAAGTTGGTAATAAACACTAGTCTTTGATAACCCATCATTCTAGATAGCAAGGCAGTAAAACTTAACTGTTGTCCCAAGTTATCTCCTCTAGATCAATAACTAAATGAGATGATTATACCTTTTTTATCTCGATTATTCACACTGTTTGCTCAACTAATCAGTAACCTTGCCATCTCAGGCTAAGTTCTCTATCTGTAAATAAAAACAATACTCTAGAGGAACCCTTTATGTCATCTCCAAATACTTATAGTTTTCTAGCTTGTTCCTGAGATACATTGTGTTGTTCCATTTTTATAACTGCTAAATATTGTTGGAGTTTTGTGGTTGTAGGACATTTCCTGGAACATCTTAATTTTAGACTTTTGTGTTAAATGCCCATTGTTTGATAGCAAGGAAAAAGAGGTCAAGAAATACCACCATAAGGAACTTTGCGCTAATGGTGGAAATGTCATTAATGACTGTAATAGGACACCCAAAATCTGGTGAAATTCCCTTTCATGACATGATTTCTGCACACTGGAAAGGACTTGGTGACTAGTATTCAAGACTTTTTTTTGAGTTGAAGTCTCACTCAGTTGCCCAGACTGGAGTGCAGTGGCCGCTCCTGGCCACCGCAGCCTCGACCCGCTGGGCTCCGGCGATCCTTCCGCCTCAGTCTTCCAAGTAACTGGAATTACAGGCATGTGCTACCATGCCCGGCTGATTTTTGATTTATTGTAGAGATGCTGTCTCACCAAGTTGCCCGGGCGGGTCTCGAACCTGCGGGCTCAGGCAATCCACTCACTTCAGCCTCCCAAGGGGCGGAATTACAGGCTGAGCCACCGAGCCTGGCTAAGCCTTTTTTTTTTTTTAAACCAATAGGTTAGAGAAGAAAAACATTCCAATCTACATATTAATCAAGATAGGTGTAGGAAAAGACCAAGAGCTAGGTACAAAATGATCTCACAGTTGTGTTCTTTTGGGTAGTTCAACCCTTGCCGAGACTCAGTTTCCTCATGTTTAAAATGGGAATAAGTGATAATGTCTGTCTCAGCACACTGTCAAACATAGGAAGTATTCAATAAATAATGTATCTACCCCAGATGCTATTTTTCTAGACTAATACCACTTACTCTTAATGTGCATGTGATTTTTTGTTAATCAGATATTTGGAGTTCAGTTGTGGAAAACCAGGGATTATTACAGCCAAAATGGTTCACCCTGAAGCCCTCTAGTTAGTTTATGAGTGACTTTGAATATACATTTTCATAGACTGTCCTTGGTAAAACTAAAGTATTTTTTAAAAACCCACATTTACTTAATAATACTAAATTTTTTTTGGATTCAATTTTACAAATGTTGGCTTGGTAGAATTCTGAAGATAATTTGGCAGAAGATATTTCTATATTAGTATGTTGTACCATCTGCTCTTTGAAACAATCTAATGACACAGACAAAATATTAAAATTTATATTTGTTACTTATTTGGTAAATAATTGAAGGCTCATTAACTAATTTTTTGTATGACTCAGAAATCTTTGGTAGAATTTCTGATTTTAGTATAATTTTTTCAGTATGTTTATTTCATGGTAAGACTAATTACTGTTAAATGACCTTATTTATTTTGTACAAATCATTTTCAACTGAAACACTGCCTCTTAATAAATTGCCAGACTAGGCTGACCTTTTTTTCTGTTTAGAATATCAATTGATCAGTTTGTAAAGTTCGGTTTCCTTTCAATATTGTAGCAGTTGTTGTCTAACTGTGGCCTTGAGCGTAAATATTGCCTAAAGCATTTCAGCTTGTTTTGATTCCCAACTGCATGTGAATCAAAGCTTCAGCTAATTTGTATCCAAGGTACTAGGTGACAAGTTCTATAATGTTTCAAGGTCATGTTGTTGCATTTAAGACATGACGATTTTACAGTTATTTTTTCCCTCTTTAAATTATGAGTACTATGAGCCTTTGGTAAGTAGCCTCAAGGCTTCAAAATACAACATTCCAATCAACAGGGGTCAGAAGTGGCAAACCAGAGAGGCGTAAAATGAAGATATTAGACAAGGATTGGCGGGTCAGGTGGAAATATTCTATTAGTAAAAAACAGTACGATGAAAAATGAACCAGCCTTTATTCTAAATTGGTACCATTTATTTTTATTTTTCATTTTTTGAGTTGGAGTCTCACTCTGTCTCCCAGGCTGGAGTGCACTAGCATGGATCATGGCCAACACAGCCTCAGCCTCCCGGTCTTAGATAATTCTTCCGCCTCAGCCTTCCGAGGAGCTGGAACTACAGGCTCACACCACCATGTCCTGCTAATTTTTCTATTAACTCTAGAGATGAGATCTCGCCATGTTGCCCCAGCTGGTCTCAAACCCCAATCTTCTTGCCTTGGTCTCCCAAAGTGCTGGGATGACAGGTACAAGCCACCACAATCGGCCAGTTGGTACCAATTTAAATGTCCTTATGTTATCGGTGCCTGCCATGGACCTTACAATCCACTAAAATAAACACAGTGAGTATTACTCAGACCATCAGATTGACAAAAATCAGCAGTTCCAGGGCTATAGCTGCCATGGTTCACTCAGAGAGGAAGAAGGACGCGAGGGAAGCCAGAAAGCAGGTGAAGGGCTCACAGCCTTGGGGAAAGCCCCTGAGTGCAAAGCGTCTCCACATTTGGGTGCCTTGGGGTGCTCTGTCCACATGCAGATCACACACGCAGAGGAAGGGACCTTCCACTCTTTTAGAAGCACCTTGGGGGAGATTGCAGCAGCACCTGTGGCTTGGCAAGAAGACTTCCTGAGTGATTTTGACAGCCTGTTCATTGAGAGCCACGGGGCCATTTGGAAGAATGCAGTAAGATCCGATCCACTGAGTGCAAGAAAGAAGACAACAAACACCGGGAGTCCAGGCAGAAATGGGAATGTCAGAATTCAAGAGCTTGGAGGTAAAGCATTTCCAACGTGCCTCAGGAGGTCTATGTTGAAGGAGAGCTAAGCCACTGGACATGCTCAGAGAGTCATCATTCAGGAGATTAGGAAAAGCATTTACAAAGAGGCTGAAAAGACTGAGGGTGATTTCAGGCTTGTGAGGGCAGTGGAGGAGGGGAGGAAAGCAGAGTGTAGAAAGAAACCTCA